TGATGTTGTTCCTGCTGCGCACACACAGAACCGTGCAACAGGATTTCAGGCAGAATATAGAAAGACTCCATATGTGAGTGGGGAAGTACAGTAGCCCTGCCCAATCTCTTGTCACTGTTCTCAAATAAAGTCTGACAAGGAGAGCCTGTTCTGTGCGTAGAAACTCTGCACTTGATCTCAAAATGGAAAAATCATCTTCTGGTTTGTGTGGAGAACGTCTTACCTCCTTGGATTATTCCTCTTCATGTGAGGAGAATGACTATAGATGGGGGTGGGACTTAGACAATCTCCTCCTTGTGTGATGAATTTAGATGTCTGAACAGGTCTATAATATAGCATCTTAAGGGCACAACTATATGTGATGTTACACATTCAGTAGATATCTGAGGGATATCTCATTGGGATTACAGCAATGGGAAGGGAGGTAAAGGCAAACGATTCCCCTTGTGCCATTCACACAATGTAAATACCCTCTCCCTAGCTGCTACTTAATACTGTGTAGCAAGATACATATTTACGTTGAGATGAGGTAGCAGATTTCAGCTGTGCAGCATAGCAAATCAAAGTTCTTCAAGGCAATTCTAATAATCAGGGCATCTCCCTACAAAACTTCTAACTTTGAAACTGGACTTCAGATCCACACCAAATTTGACTCTGGTGTAACAAACAGATTTCTCTTGCTCTGTGCCAAATTTGGGGATGTTTGGGATAAGAGGATTTGAGTTAAGATTTTATAATTGTAAAACTGTTGCCCCACCCTTGCAGAAATAAGTAACTATAAACATCCCAGATTTAAAACAGTTCAAATAAATTTAAAACACCACAGTGGTGCCTCACATTGCGACGTTAATTCATTCAGCAGAAATCACTGCAGAATAAAAACGTCGCTATGCGATATTAAAAAGCCCATAGAAATGCATTAAAACGCAATTAATGCATTCCTATGGCCTTAAAACCCACCATTCAGCAAAGATCCTCCATAGCGCGGCCATTTTCGCTGCCTCTTAAGCGAGGAATCTGTCCCTAAACACAGCGGGTGGCCATTTTGTTTACCTGGCAGCCGTTTTGAAACCGCCAATCAGCTGTTTTAAAATCATCGCTTTGCAATGCTTGGTTCCCAAAGCAGGGAACCGAACATCGCAAAGGGAAATTCCCCCATCGCAAAGCGATCGCTTTTGTGATTACAAAAAATGCGTCACAAAGCGATTTCATAGCTAAACGGAGCAATCACTATGCGCGGCACCATTGTAATCTTATCTTGAAAGGAAAGTTTGGTCCTATCCACTTTTTTTACTTGGAAAGAAGAATTTGGCTGCAGGGGCTGAAATATTAATCCTCAAAAAAAGCTTTTCAAATTGGGAAATTGAGCATGTGTGGTACACACTTGCCAGCAAAAGCTCTGTGAAATGCTACATTCTATACATTTGTAGGCAAGGGAGAGATATATTTGGAGAGCTTTAACTAAAGGTTACAGAAACAAGTCAAAAAACCCTTACTGAAAAACAGCCCTGACAATTGCTTTGTATTTGGGTGAGAAGTGATTAACTGATGAAAAAAAAAGCCAGCTTCTGGGATTTTCCCTTGTGTGGTGTCACTTTGTGAATGGTAGTGAGCAGAAGGGGGGGTATCCTGTAGACCATCTTGGCTACTACCATTGATGTTGTCATCATTGAGGCTGCCCTTTGCTATGTAAAGCTTGGCATCCTTTCTCCTGCTGGCAATGTGGGCACAATACTGTGCAGCCACATTGAACCATTTCCTGGAACTTCGAATTGTAGATGCAAAAGCACAGTACAGTATCCCATATTCATAAACCAGAGGGTGGTGTTTGTTTTTCGAATAATTGAATATTAAAATATAAACAAGTGTGTGTGAGTGTGTCAGTCTCTTCCCTTGCACTGCATTCTCAAGTGGATATATCCTCACCTAATACTGCTCTTCAGTTTGTTTTAAAAGTGGCAAAGGATCAGATTACAATCTGACCCATGGCTGCAACTAGCTTGCTCCTATGAAATTTTTGTTTCAAATGTTACCTTGGCCATAAACTCACAGAGTGACAAGATGGTATCTGAACCTCCCATCTGAGGTGTGAATAACAATAGGGAGCTCTCTTTTTGGAAAGGTAGCCAAGCTGAGGTATGTGAAGGATTTTGAACACTCCAGGTTCTACATAACAGCGAAATCACTTGTTACTCCCAGTGATGCCAAGCTCTACTGAGGCTGTGGAGTGTTGGCACAGCTCATGTGTAAAGACTGGCTTGTCTGCTTCATTGGGGGTGGGAAAGGGTGACAGCAGCTCTGCTTGCACAGTGGGAAATACACAGAGAACTGGTGGTGACATTTGATATAAACGTGGTGCTTTGTTAGCCTCTGGTTATGCAATGGTTTTGTATGTGCAAGACATCTGTAGGTTATGTCTAGTGACCATGAAGAGGTTTTGCAGTCTTCACTGTTGGAATTAACTGTAGCAGTTTGACCTTCCCGTGGAATCTGTTTAATTCTCATAGCTAAGTCTGCCTGTCAGTTTATTGTAGGTACAGTTCAGGCAGGAAATTGTGCTTTTTGTGTTTGTGTGTGTGTGTGTACATAGTATATACATTTTAATTGTTTCCACAAACCTAAGCTCAAACAGAAAGAGCTTGTGTGTGCACTAGTCTCATGCAGTTTGATTGATTGGCTTTAACAGCCTTAAATCATACCAGCTAAACTTGTGCTTTGATTCAGGCTAGAACAGGCCTGCGTATATTGGGATGTGACTCACAAGCACTTGAGTCAGCTGCCTTCATCTTGTTGCACAATAATGATGTTGTATTTTCCTTAATATGTATTTGACTTTCTCTTGGAAGGAGTTTCCTCCTTCCATTTGTTAATGAGACATCTCGGAGCTTATAAAGGGCTGTCCTAAACCAGCTTTTCTTTTTGCTTCTTATTTTTTGAAAAACAAAAACTATTAGAATACCAAATGAAATTTTTTTTTGCATCTCAGTATTTAGTGGTATTTCAAGTTTTATACATTCTTCAGTAGCTGATCGTAACAGTTTCTTCTCTTTATCCAGCACATGGTTGATTGAATTTAAGTTGCACTGATTACAGTTTAGAATTTAAATGCACGTAACTAAACAGTAGCTGGCAGGATAGCTCAGTTACATATCTGGCTGTAGAGCTGGAGGTTGGGAGTCTGGCTATCCACTGTGTGTCCCAGGAGAAAGTTTGCCTGTGTGACCTTAGGCAGACCTTAGACAATCCCAGAGTGGCTCCAGAAGAAGGGAATGGGAAACCACTTCTGCGTATTCTATACCTATGAAACTCTAGCAAGGGTTACTCTAAGTTGAACTTGGCTGCATGCAATTCATTCATTGACCACTAGTATGGAAACTTTTAAAATAATTTAAATCTGGAACCATTGTTTGTTCATCTGTTACATGCTGCCAAGTTGCATCTGATTTATGGCAACCTTAATAGGGTTTTCAAGGTATTTGAGATATTTAAGGAGATGTTTTTACCATTGTTACCACCTAGTGAGTTTCCATGGCTGAGCAGAGATTTGAATCCCGGTCTCCTGGGTCCTACTCGCCCTATCCATTATACCACATTGTGTCTCACCCACTCACTCCTTAGATGCTATAGGTATGAATTGTTAATTTTCAGTGTTGCTGCCTGCTTAGTGCAAAGTTTATTGGAAAGAACAACAACCCAGACTGTGAAGTTTGAGCATTATCATGTTCAGAGCAGACAATTTGTTGGCACAATCCAGCCACGTTTCAGCAGTTCTCTAATATTTAAACTCATAGGTCAAAAAGAATATGCTTAATTCTCACTGAAATCCATATAATTTAAGGCTGTAATTCTGAATACAGTTACTGGATAATAAGCCTGATTGAACACAGTAGAACTTACTCTTGAGTACATATGTCTAGAATTAAGTTGTAATGCTTAACTTTTGTGCTATGTTTTTAACATCTTGTTCTTGCTACCAAATACACTATTTATATGTTTACATACAGTAGAAATATAATCATGTAGTTTGTATGTGTGCAGCATATAACTTTTTCTTTAATTTGAGTGAAACCTCTGTTGATCTAATGTGGTGCTGTGATTGTTATGTGCTGTCACATCTGGCTTCTGGCAATCCTAATAGGGCTTTTGAATTATGCAAGAGATTTCAGGGAGTGGTTTTACCATTGCCCACTCATCATGGGTTTTGATGGCCAAGTGGGGATTTGAATCCAAGTCTCCAAGGCCTTGTCTGTAACTCTTTTATCACCTATACCATATTGGTTCTATCTAAGTACAGAAACTAGAATTTTGCTAATTAGAGGTAATAGAGGTGGCTGATAGGTTTCTGAGTTCTTCATTCTGTGGATCATTGACTGAAATTCTCCTGTGGAATTCTGTGATCTATAATTTCTAATTTTAAGTTTCCTATCCCGCCCAGTTCCAAAGCTCTCTAGGGGTACTTTTGAATGTGGAGGAGCGTTTAATATCTGAAAATTCTCTAGGGAGTCATGGACATTTGGGGAGGGGGAGAGAAATTGAATTAAAGTTTACTTTGATGATTGATTTCATCAGCATTTATGTATCTGGTCAACTCTGCCAACAGGACTCCAGTCACTGAGTGCAAATAATTTGATTTGCAGTACTATGGCATACTATATAGATTACCTTCTGTGGAGTTTTAAAACATACAAATCAAGAAGTTTAGTCTGCTAACACTGTGATTTTAAAGATTTTGTGCTGATTTGGTTCCCTTCTGAGATGTTTCCTGAGTTGTGTTTAACTATATTCCTTTAAAAAATTGTTAATGCCTCTTATTTTATGCTTATTTAAATGATTCCATAAAACCACAAACAGGTGTTTTTAAAAAACATCTAGTTAACAGTGTATATTCTATATAGTCTTACTGTAATACCTGTGTGTGTGTGAGTAAACATGCAGTTTTTAAAAGATTGTGCTTAAAAAAGTAGAATTTGGGGTAATTATTTTATGTTCTGTTTCCACAGGCGGTTCTCAACATAATGCTGGATGGCCGGTCCATAACATTTTAGGTGTTCATCGGTCGCTCAGTAGTCAGTGTAGATTCTGTTTCTCTCAATCAGCAGCTACATCTGGCTACTGGGTCTCTGAGGACATCTCAACAAGCTTGTACTTTTTTGATGACCATTTGGATATTTTCAGCTGATATTTTCCCAAGATGCAACTAAAAGTAATATCTACAAATGTATCTTCTAGTAGTTTACAATAAAATTATTCTTCATGAGACATATTTTGATTGAATTAAAGAAGACTGCCTTGAAATGTGGGACACCTATTGTTTCATTACAGCAGTTATCATAGGGTGGCAATCAACTTACTTATTCTAGCTAGAGAAAAACAGCTTGTGTCTCTAGCATGATCCACGTCTTATGCAGCAGAAATGTGAGAAAACAGAAATAATGTTTTCCTCAGAAACTTTGTAAAACCTTGCAAGTATATATTTTCTTTAATTCACAAACAAAGAAAAAAGCATGATAATATTCTAATCTGGCTCACACGTCTGTGGAGCGTGTTTGATAAAACATGGCATTTATATGCTCAGAATTTGATCCCATCAATTTAGCTCCTCTAGAAACAGCTCACTGAGCGCAATAAGGTTTAGTTGAGTCTCCCATACCTGCACACACACTCATGTACATGTATATGTATATACAAGCTGCATCAGGGGATGTTTGAGGAAAAGAAGTCAGTCATAGGCACTGGATTGTGCCAGTATGTTTTATCATTATTTCTGGTAGTAGTTGCATGGCAACATCACTTGTGTTGAATGCAGCTGTGTGACGAGTGTGCAATCTTGGGGCCTGAACCTGGCATACAATGTAGAATTCTGTGTTTATTAAGCAACAGCTACATTGTCTGCTGGGTTTCAGGCTGCCTGGAAATGCAAAGCAAATTCTACTTGACATCTTTATTTTGCATGCCATCACCTACTTTTTCAATGTAAAACCAAACTAATTTGTAAGTGAAACATCTCATGTTGGATTCTTGTCATATTAAAACAATCAGACCTATCTGTGAGCCTCTTGCCTTATTCTTTATTTCTTTATTTCCTTGCCTTATATTTAGAAAACATCTCAAGCTATAATACATCGGTTGAAATCCTTTTGCTTTTCTTAGTAAGTCTCACTAAAGTAGGCCCACTGAATTAGTAGGGATTTGCTGAGTCAGCTCCTCTGTACGTTCAGTTTATTCAAATAGGCCTAATCTAGGTGTGAGTTACTTCTGTGTAGTAAATTGCAACTAGAGCAGGCCCATTTGAATCAGTGGAACTGACAGGAGAATTGACTTGCCAGATCCCTACTGATTCAATGGACCTACTCCTGTGTGACTTACTATTGGATTTCAGCAGCAGAAAAAGAGAGCCTTTTGTTTTGGGTTGTTATATTTTTATTTAGAAAAATCCTGAAAGGTTATTCAGACTTTATTGGTACTGGAGAATAAACTGTCAAGTCAGGAATGTTAGAGGGGCACGCTGTATACATGTAAAAAGTTGTTATGGCACAGCTTTTGTGAAACCTTTAATCAATTTCAATTACACAAAGAAAGGCTGCATGTTTGAATACTCCTCCTAAAAACAAAATGAGTCTAGAATGCAGGTGGTATTTCATGAGGAAAGGCATTTTTAACAAGTGGGAAGATTAAGTGATGTTTTAAGAAGAGGGAATATTGTGATTCCCCCCCTTCCTTATGAAACTGTTCAGTCCAAGAGAGGATGTATCATATGAGTCTCCTGAATGTGTAGACTGCAAATATGCTTTCACATCACACTTGCTACTCACATTCTATGCTTTCAAGATCTCTCCCTGAGATCTCTTAGACAGCATCATAAGAACTCTATCGGATTGAGTTTTGATGAGCAGGTTAACCTAGAGACACTCCTAATATTCTTAAAGAATTTCATAGCTTCATGTAGTTCTATTGAACTAGAGATTTCTTTTAGTTCTTGCCTTTGAGAGATTTTAGGCATCTAAAATGATGTGACTTTAGTAATGGCTCAGTCATATGGCCCATAATCGAATATCAGTGTTTTAAAGGAGTATATAGTTGCATTTCACCAGCTGTGCATATGTCTATACTGCTCTGTATTGTTTCATTGTTATGTAGTATGGGTTGTCTATTGTTGATTTTGTAATTAGCTGCTTTTGACATTTTTAATTGAAAGGTGGGTTGTATGCCTAATGCATAAAACAAATACATCTATTTTTAAATTTTTTGTAAAGATTAACATGGACAAAGAATTTAACAGAAAAGGAAGGGAGAAAGAATCAAATACAATAATTTGATGCACTGACCTTGAAGTTATTAGATAAATGTCAAAAATTGGTTGAACAATGAAAATAAATGGTTGTTGTGGGTTTTCTGGGCTTAAGGTTCTTAAGTTTGTTTGGCTGTGTTCTTAAGGTTTTTCTTCCTAATGTTTCATCAGTCTCTGTGGCTGGTATCTTCAGAGGACAAGAGTCAGAACTCTGTCTGTGCTCTGTTGCAGTTTGTTGGATAGTTGAGTATTTATAGCTGTGGGATCAGCTTTTATCTTTTCAGGAGATTGGGTGATTGTGGTGATCAGCCTGTTTTTGTTGTGGGTGTATTGTTGTGATGGGGGGGAGATGATCTGTCACTGCGATTGATGGGTGTCATCAGCTGGTCTTTTGTGTGCACTGATCACTGGTCCTTGTGGCTCCTGTCCTCTGAAGATTCCAGCCACAGAGAAGGGCAAAACATTAGGAAGACAAACTTAAGAACACGGCCAAGGGGCCCGGGAAGCCCACAACAGCCATCGGATCCCGGCCAGGAAAGCCTTCAAGAATACAATGAAAATAAACTCAGCAACCATCTAGTTTGACACAGATGGTGAGACCTTTTAGAAGCTTAGGAGTGAAGTAGCACAAGGTTTTTGATAACAGTAATGTATGGTTGAAGACAGTGTAGAAATATGCACATTAGATGCTTTATCAGTCTCTTTTGTAAAATTCTAAGTTTGACCAATTTGTTAATTTATTTTCTAACTTGTAGATGTAAATTGTTTTAGGCAAATTTCAGTACTGTATTCATACTTAAAAGTCAAAAGTGCATGGAAATAATAGTTTTAACCTGAATGCAGAAACTATGCAGTGTTCTAAATTAATATGCATTAATGAATTATCAGAATGTGCATATATTTAGTACAATATTCTAGAAAACAAACTAATAAAAACAAAGCTCTGTAACTCTTGAAATACAAATAGCCCAAAGAAGCTTTAGGAGGGAAGTGGTTCACAAGGGAAGGGGTTAAATGCCATCAGGGTAAGATTTTCATTTTACACATCTCGTGTGAATTGTTTGTGAGTCTTGAGGGCAGCTGTCCTTCAGCAGACTTTCTTTCTCCATTCTTAAACGTTGAGCACCACATAACAGTTCATGCCAGCACTACTGTTAGTAATGAGTCACCTCAGCAGTTTCATTTCCCCACCACATTTCAGTTACACACATGGTGTTGAAATAACCAGGTTGGGCATGTGGTTCAGGTTCCTGAATTGCTTGTAAATCATGCTACTTGTATCTGACAAGATGCATTAAAAGACCTGCTGCTGCTCATTTTGATTCAGGTGATAAAAGTTTTGTCTGCCAATAGCAAGGAGTGAGTTTCAATTCTGAACCTATCAGTAAGAGAGGCCTTGCTAAAGTCATAGTTTTATCTATCTTGCTGTACCAATGGACTTTTGTGTGGCATCCAGTTTGCCCATAGTGGAGAACAGTGTGGGATTACAGAGCATGAAACTACATCATCTTCTTCATGGTCTCTGTGAGTGCATACTAATGGGTTGATCCACGCTTGTGTGGAGCAGTCTCGGAACTGTCTAGCTCAAGCACATGGTGCTGGGACCTCCTCCACGCTGGCTATAACTCCACCCCCAGCACCGAATGGCTCAGTTCCTTTTTGACCACCGCTGTTGCAGCTTCGTTGGGAACTTCGTGCACTCATTCAATCAGCCTGTCTTACCTTTCCCTCTCTTCTTCAGACCTCCTTGGCTTGATTCTGGACTGTTGACCTTTGCTTCGCAACTGTGAGTTATCTGAAAAAGAAAAAAATACGGATTAATTATTGTTTTGCTTACTTTGGGTTTATGGCCTCGCTGGGCCTCTTCAAGAGGTGCGAGGTCTGCTCAAACAAAATCCCCTTCTCCGAGGGGCATGCCCGTTGTTTATTTTGCCTTGGGGAAGAACATCAGCCAGCCATGTGCATCTTTTGCAAAAACTTTACAAAGCCAGCTCTAAAGTGGTGGCTCCAACACCCAAAATCATTTCTTTGGGAGAAATCCCTTTCACCATCTCAAACTGCCTCTATGCATTCCACCCAAAACTCTGCAACCATCTCCAGCAACTTCGCCTGAGGTTGTATCCCAAAAGGCGGTGAAAATGGTGGCCAAACTGAAATCATCCTCGGGCTCGAGGTCGACAGCTATGGCATTGACACTGTTGCAATCTTTGACATCGGGTTAGAAGAAGAAGAAAAATCTTAAGCTTGTTACATCTGCTGAAATCTCAGCACCGAGGCCAGAGAGATATCCCGGCAACATTCAGTGAGCCTGAGTGTATCCTCGAGGGAAGAGGATTTATCCCTGCAGCTGCTGCCACCATCCCCTTCTGTCAGTGATATTCCTGACTGGGGTAACACTTCTCTAGAGGTTTTTGAATTGGCACAGGCCAGCCCACATTCTTCATTGGGCTCACTGATGCAGCAACTGGTGGCTTTGCCACCGCTGCTGCCTCAGACTGAGGTTCCTTATAAGAGAACCCATAAATCCTGACACCTGGAGCCACCTGAGCAACCGGACCCATATAGCCAGCAGTCGGAGCCGAGGGGATACTCTGCTCATCGAGGCCGATGGCATTACCTTGACTACCCACTGGCGTGCGGGGCAGAGGACTTTGAACAGGACCTGCCTTTTCATCCAGGACCTTATCGATATGACCCGTACCCTCGGTATCGACACTTCAAACGCTATGCTCAGCCCTTTTTGCCAGCTCCGCCTCAGTACCATGGATGGTGTGACATTGTGCCCGAGGCTGAAGAGGGCCATATTCCTCCGCTTCCTTCTTGACCTCGCAAAAGGTACCTGCCGCTGGCCTCTGCTAATGTTGGATGTGTCAAGTATTCTTGGCTAGCACCAGACCCAGAGGTGGGCCGTAAGGGCTATGTTTACCCTGTAGTTGGACCCGAGGCAAGCTTTGCTCGAGTCCAAGGTGGACAAGACTTGTCCCCAGCTCCACTAGAGGAGGCACCTTATTGCAAAGGTATTTTTTTGTGTGTGAGAATCGTTCTGCTACTTCTCCTTCTGACAAAGAAGGACGTAAGTTGGATGTCCTAGGCCGCAGGATATACTCTCTAGCCTCTTTTGTCCTCAGGGTGGCCAACTATTTGGCTGCCATGCGCACTTACCACTGCCATTTATGAAATTTGGCATTGCCCATTCTGGAAGCAGCTCCTGAGGACGTTAGAGTCCAAGTCCTCTCGTATCATCAGGAGGCCATGGGGCTCACAAGACATGAGCACATTGCTGCCCGCCACACTTTAGAAGTTGCTTCAGCAGTTGGCCACTGCCATCTCTCTTCACTGTCATGCTTGGCTGCACTCAGCTGGCATTTTGGAAGACGCCAGGGCACGGGTAGAGGGCCTGCCCTTTGATGGAATGGGTTAGAGTCCAAGTCCTCTCGTATCATCAGGAGGCCATGGGGCTCACAAGACATGAGCACATTGCTGCCCGCCACACTTTAGAAGTTGCTTCAGCAGTTGGCCACTGCCATCTCTCTTCACTGTCATGCTTGGCTGCACTCAGCTGGCATTTTGGAAGACGCCAGGGCACGGGTAGAGGGCCTGCCCTTTGATGGAACGGGAAAAGACCGATGAAATACTTGACAAGCTCTGGAAGATGGTGCAGTCCTACTCTGTGCAACAGTCTCGTCCAAGAGGTACATGGAGGCGTTCTTAGCAACCTAGGGGGTATCAAGACTGTCAGAAACCTCGCAAAGCTACCA